CAAAAGAGGTAAGTAATTCTTTGATTCTCCCTAATCTAAAGCAATTCAGATTTTAAAAATAAAACCTCTGAATTGGCTCTTCTTTGGGGGTCATTAAGCAAGGATGTAAGGGTGAATGCATAGGTTGTAAATTTTGAAATATTTTTTTTTAACCTTGATGTTTCATAAAATAGAAAAACCCCTCATAAATATATCATCTCATCAAATTCTACACGCAGAATTTGGAAAGTATAGCAGTTAAAATGTCCTTCTTCTAAAGAGAGTTTTGCTCTTTTATATTATTTTAGTTAATGAACAGGATTCCAGATGTCAAAATTGAAATATATTAGAAGAAATCTGAGTAGACCAGAAACATTTAAATATATCTGCTGTCATACACCTTCATGAATGAAAATAGATGGCATTGATAAAATATTTTTGTTTTTAATCCAAACTGTGGTATTTCAAGACTGTTCAAGTGCCAGAATTAAGTCAGGCTGAAAAATGACATCTCCCTGATATTTGCTGATGAATTTCAATTTCTTAGACTCTTAAAAACCACATGGTTATTAAACGAAGTCATTCCCTAACACAATGAAAGATGACAGGTGGGGAAGAAACCTGACCGCCGGGTATGGATGTGGTCTGTAACAATAAAGAAAGTGCCCGGCTGGTGTGGCTCAGTGGTTGAGTGTTGACCTATGAACCAGGAGGTCATGGTTCAATTCCCAGTCAGGGCACATGCCCAGATTGCAGCTCAATTCCCAATGGGGATCTATGATGTTTCTCTCTCATCGATGTTTCTATCTCTCTATCCCTGTCCCTATCTCTCTAAAAATCAATAAAAACATTATTTTTTTAAAAAATAAAGTGATGTAAACAGTTATATAATATAGAGGACAGGTAGCCATCTGCAAAGTCTCAAAGCTATTTCTTCTACTAACATTGAATTTCTGAGGTGAAATACTTAAACTTCATTTGGTCGTAGCTTTAAAACTAATACTTTAATCCAAATTGGAGTAAAAAACCATTATGATTTAAGTACCATTTACAATGAAATTCCCACTTGTTAAAAATAATGTTTATCATACAATCATATAGTTTTTTGAAAAAGCAATCTTATGTGTTCTCTAAAAGTATGTGTGATTGTTAATGCGGGAAGCACTCTTTGAAATTCACTTACTATACATCATGGAAGGTTTATATCTAATTAAGTATTTAATAAATGTTCTGTGCTGCTGCTACTATTGCTGTTGTAGTTACAGAATACCATAGGCTAAAAATCAATTCTAAATAGAGCAGAATTGAAAAAATTTAAAAGAATTTTAATAAGCCAAAAGAAACTAGAAGAAAAAATAATTTTTAAAGAAATTCTGGATGGAAAAGAAATTTTAAACCTTAAAAATGATAAATGAAATCAAAGAAAAAGATAAATTGGCTTGTCTATATAAATTAATATACATTAAAAAACAAAATTAAAAAGCAAAAACCCCCACCAATTTTTGGGAAATATTTTACACATGGCTGGCAAGGGCACAGGAGAGGGGAGTTCTAAACCGTTAGAAGTCATTTAGAAAGAAGCAAAGTGGTAGTCAAGTAAAACATTCTCTTATCAAGGTTACAGGGAAATAGACACTTCCATACATGATTGGTGGGAATACAAAATAATACCAACCGTTTAGAGTATAATTTGGCAACATCCATCAAAATTACAGATTCATTTAGTGTTTGATTCATCAATTAAATTCTGGGTTTAGCCTACAGAAAGCTATTCCTGAACAAAGTGACTGATGCATCAGATCATTCATTGCAGTAGTATTGTTTGTATTTGCAAAGAATTGGGCATAAACCAGTATCCATCAGTAGGAGACTATTTAAATATACTGTGGAATGTCCATATAATGGAACCCTTCCAAAAAGAACGAGGAAGCTTTCTATGCAATTAACTTTCTGGGATTGTTCTACAGTAGGATAGAAGAGTGCTATCTTTTGTGTAAAGAAAAAAAGGATAGTTACAGAGTCTCATTCTTCAATACTTCGCAGTAAGATTAGATTAAGTTCAGTTTCTCACAACATCTACAAATATGTTCTCTGTAACATCATTTGTAAAAGCAAAATATTAGAAACATTCTAAAAGTCCTATCATAGTTGAAATGGTAAGGCAAATTGTGGTAATCGACAAAAAATAACTAAGATATATAAGAAATAGTATGATAAAATAGAATTAATCTGAGACTGAAGATGTGGATCCAAAATTCCAGATCCATTGCTAAACTTGTAGGTTGTGGACAGTAAATTACTTAAACACTGATTCACTGATTCATTCATGTATTTAATATTCAGTAAGCTGGTATTATGAATAAGGCACACAGCTAAATGTGAAGATATAGCAGGATACAAGATTGCTATGGAAGAGAGAATATTTTAATAAGTACTAACAATTCCTGAACAGTACTATTGGAGTAGAGAATGTATATCTGAACTAACCTAGAAGGGTTAAGAAAGGCTTCCTGGATTAAGTAATGTTAAGGTCAGACCTGAATCTGAACCCTTAATAGGAGTTAGGGAACTATAGTGAAGTGGAAGGAGTAGTCTAGATAAAAGTAATAGCAAAATCAAAAGCCCACAGATCAGTATTATATACACATGTCATCTAGATGAATTAAATACATTATGCAATTGCTAAGTATGGAGGCTGCAATTATAGACTAGTCATTAAAGAAGTATAACATTGACTTCCGGTCAAGATGGTGGAGTCGGTAAACACTGTGCTCGCCTGCTCCAACAACTACATAAAAATTACAGCTAAATTATAGAACCACCACCCTTGAGAACCAACTGAAGATTAGCTGAACAGAATTCCTGTAACTAAGGATATAAGAAGCCAGGTCAAGACTGGTAGGAGGGGTGGAGACACAAAATGGGCCGTCCCACACCCAGGTGTGGAGGTTAAGAATGAGGAACTGTATCTCAACAGCAGGGTTCACCCCTGAGGAGCCAGGGATCTGGGCCCCACAGTGGGCTGCCAAACCTGGAGCACCAGTGCCAGGAAGAGGAGTCCCCACAACACCTGGCTGTGAAAATAGCAGGGACCTGAATGGAGGTGAGACCAAGGGCTGCTTTTGACCCTCTTAAAGGGCATGAGCACAGACTCATAAACACTCGCCCTAAGCTCCAGCAAAGGGACACACAGGGAGGAACTGGATTGTCTAGCTTCAGGGTGAGGGCTGGAGGGGCAGCACTCTCTAGGTCTGAGGTATGGGCAGGCACTGTTGTTCCTTTGTTGAGCCCTTCCTCAGTCAATAATACTGTAATAACTATGTGTAGTGTCTGGTGGATACTAGACTTACCGGGGGATCACCTCCAAGTTATATAAATGTCTAACCACTATGCTGTACACATGAAACTAATATAATATTGCATGTCAACTCTAATTGAAAAAAAATTTTAAATGAAGTACAGCATCAGGGCAAGCAAAACGGGGTAATAATCAGAAGGAAAAGTAGGATTATTTATTAAATAAAAATGCTGAGGACTTACTATGTGCCAGACACTATCCCAGGCACTTGGGATATATCAGTGCAGAAGCAAACAAAAGTAGCTGCTCTGATGGAGTTTATATTCTAATACAGGGCAAGAGGCAATAGACAACTGATATGGTACATTAGCACATGGAAAGTGGACTAGAGTATAGGTAGGGGTGCATTTTAAATAGGGAAGTAAGGGACTGTCTCAGAAGGGGGTGACTGGACAAAGACTTGAAGTAGGTGAGGGAAGAAGCACATTCCAGCAGACAGGAGAATCCTAAATAGGAGAAGCCCTAGGTAGGACATGTGCTTGGTACATTCAAAAACAGTGAGGAGGTGGGTGTGGCAGAACAAACAGGCAAAGGGGCAAGTCCTATGAAATAAGGTCAGAGAGGCAATGAGGGATGGAGGGATTTTGTAGGCCACTCTAAGAATTTAGAGGAAAGTTGCTCATTATTTCCTCCTGCCCTCATATATATCAGGTGAAGAACAAGAGTTAAGAGAGGAGAAAGACCAGAGAGTCTAGAGAGAGCAGGGGTAGGGAGGACATTAAGAGCAGTGTCCTTCAGAAGGCAGCAGGAGGCTGGAGTAAGGACCGGGTTGGTAAGCAGAAGAGGTGCCTTCTTTGGGAGGAGTGTGCTAGAGCCCGCTCAGGAGAGCCCATTCTGCCAGCCTCTTAGCAATTTTGCTTTCAGTGGCTTCACATTGGTGGCTTAAAATTGGCCACTGTAGAAGCATTTGCACTGAAAGATGACAAACACCACCAATCCAGGCAATCTTTTCCCTAGAGTACTCATTTAGCTGCCTGCAAGTGACTCTTCCTCAAAGACGGGTGGAGAACAAAGAGAAAAATCCGGCTGTACCCTCACATGTGTACTGTGGTGAGGGGAAGGAAGACAAAGGCCCCATGACCCAGACCCTATTTTCTGTGAATTGAGTTGCTTGGAGAAAAAATGACATGGGTCTGAAATAACTTCTGCAGGTGGAGACTAAGCCTAGCCTTGCATGAATATGTAATAAACAAGAGAACTGTTATGTAAATATGAGGAGAGTCAACTTGGAATAAACCACAAAGGCTAAATCTGCATACATTTCTTTCTCTAATTTTCATTTGTTTGGAATCAGAAAAATAAACAACTGACTAAGACATAGGAGGGGATGCCGGTGTTTGAAGAAAAAGGTTATAAGAAGGCAGAAGAATTTAAGGTCATGGGGAAAGGCATACTTTGGGATCAAGGACAGAGGAACAGTGAAGAAAAGACGAGTCTCAGAGCTTAAGGAAAATACTAATGCGGCACAAAAATATTAACTCCTAGATATGCCTAACAATTACTTCTAATTTAGTCTTCAAAAAGATAATTTTCTGGGTGAAAAATAATTTCTGTTTTCTTTCCTAGACAAGATAGCTTTAGAGAGCATTTCCCTGATGCTACCCACAGTGCTCCTTAGCTGCCTGGATGCTCCTGGGTGAGTTCTTTTGACTTGGCAGCCAGTTCCTAAACCACAGGCACTTTCTGGTTGCCTTCAGCTAAGTGGAAACTTTGAAAGGTCTGTAGTTGTTGAAACAAGCTGAAATTCTTCCAGGTTTGTGTCGGAGGACACTTAAGAACTTGGATTTGGTTTCACGGGATGGTTGTACATGAAATAAAGATCAAGTGCTCAGGAGGTTAAATTTCAGGAAAGCCCTCTTGGATGCAAGATAAAGGCGGGGTATAAAGTGAAAACAAAAGTAGCCCCAGTTAGCAAGGTCATTTGATTTCACTCCGCACTGCACTCAAGACTGCTGCTCTCTTTCTGCACACAGAAACAGGTTGGTTTTTCTCTTCTCATTCTGACTTGGATATGATTTTTTTTGAAAGCTCAAAAATGTTTTATATTTACTTATGGAGAAGGAGTGTTGATGCATAAAAGTCTAAACATTTATGTGCAAAGAAGCTATTTGAAAAGTTATATTTTTTAAATTTAAATATAGCAAGAAGAAAATATGTATTATTTTAATGCCATTATTGTCTATGAAATTTTATTAATGAGAAACAGGTTTTGCTATGCCATTATTTTTGCTTTGTTTTACAAACACTAATTTTTTTGTTCCTGTAATAATTACAGAGCTATCTAAATATGTTTCTATGCTATTGCCAGAGGATCGTTTCTGGAAATAATTTTCATTCCTACTCCTATTTATGCACATTTTTAATAAGGTTAATTCTTATTTTAAAATAACTTTCCTTAATATCTTATATTATTTGACCACATTGTTCCTTATCAGGTTCAAGATTTCTGTGATAAAAGAGAAGGAAATAACAAAGTTCACATTGTGTTAATAATTAATGAAAACTAGGGTAATCTTCCAGATTGGAACTTTTCAAAAACAGTAAGGATAAAAGTAGTCATTTTAAGTTGTTAAAAGTAGTTCTTTTATGTGGTAGCTGTCCTCAGGGGGCCTTCTTTACTTTGCTTTACTCACCCCCAAAAGGTAGCAAGTATAAGAACATTCTTTTGAAAATGTACCAAAAGTTATCACACTGTTCTGAAAGTAAGGTTTTCATTCATGATTCTATAAGAATATTTTGGATTCTTTCAAGGACAAAACTAACCAAAGAGAGACAGATAGGGAAGAAAAGAGCAAAACAAAACTCAGCACTCTGATAAAAACATTGAAAGACATTATTAAATACATTTTAAAGCTTGTGAATTCTGTGTAAGTTTATCTTACTATTGCTGGGTATTAACAGCCAAAATAGTAAAATAACAGTGGTGAGGCAGGAGAATAACAGCTTTATATCTGCTGGTAAAACATGTATTTGACAGATATTTACTGAGCAACTAGTGTGTGCCACACACTCTATAAGGTATTAATTACCATCATAGGGAACTTAGGACATAGAGGGAAAATGTAGTTGGGAGGCGCATCTTTTCCATAGGATGGGGTCAGTTTTTTGAGAGATATGTCTATATAGCTTCTGGATCAGGAAAGTCTTCTGGGGAGGTAACATCCAAGTTAAATGAGCAGGAATTGGCCTTCCAAGGAAGGGCAGGAAATAGTCCATGAGATAAAGAAGCAGAATGAGTACATGTGCTGCAGCATGGGGTGTGCCTGTGGATGAAAACTAGTCTTGGGGATATACTCCAATGTGGCTTCCATTAAAGGATTTCAAAGAAGGGTAGATTCAGGCTCATATATGTTATCTCTTCTCTCCTTTAGTAAGAGAACAAAGTATATACTAGTTTAAAAAAAGTTTCCTTGCAAGCAACATTAAAATGAATATCCTGTATTCTTTTTTGCCATTTAGATTGCAGCCATGGCTTTGGAGCACAATGAATCGACAGATTACTATTATGAGGAAAGTGAAATAAATGGCACTCATGACTACAGTCAGTATGAAGTGGTCTGTGTAAAAGAGGAGGTCAGAAATTTTGCAAAGGTTTTCCTGCCTGCCTTCTTCACAATAGCTTTCATCATTGGAGTTGCAGGCAACTCCACAGTAGTGGCGATTTATGCCTATTACAAGAAGCAGAGGACCAAAACAGATGTGTACATCCTGAATTTGGCAGTGGCAGATTTACTCCTCCTATTCACTCTGCCTTTTTGGGCAGTTAATGCAGTTCATGGGTGGGTTTTAGGGATAATCATGTGCAAGGTCACTTCGGCCTTGTACACAGTCAACTTTGTCTCTGGAATGCAGTTTTTGGCTTGTATCAGCCTAGACAGATGTTGGGCAGTAACTAAAGCCCCGAGTCACTCAGGAGTGGGCAAACCATGCTGGCTCATCTGTGTCTGTGTCTGGATGGCTGCCATCTTGCTGAGCATACCTCAGCTGGTTTTTTATACTGTAAATCACAAGGCTAGGTGCGTTCCCATCTTTCCATACCACCTAAAAACATCCCTGAAAGCATGGATTCAAATGCTGGAAATCTGCATCGGATTTGTGATACCCTTTCTTATCATGGGAGTGTGCTACTTTATCACGGCAAGGACACTCATCAAGATGCCGAACATTAAAAAATCTCGACCCCTCAGAGTTCTGCTCGCAGTGGTTATAGTTTTCATTGCCACTCAGCTGCCTTATAACATTGTCAAGTTCTGCCAGGCCATAGACATCATCTACTCCCTGATCACCAACTGCGACATGAGCAAACGCATGGATGTCGCCATCCAGATCACAGAGAGCATCGCCCTCTTTCACAGCTGCCTCAACCCAGTCCTGTACGTTTTCATGGGATCCTCTTTTAAAAACTACGTCATGAAAGTGGCCAAGAAATATGGGACCTGGAGAAGACAAAGACAAAATGTGGAGGAGGTTCCTTTTGATTCTGAAGTCCCTACAGAGCCAACCAGTACATTCAGCATTTAAATGTAAAACTGCTCTGTGTCTTGCTTCGATACAGATGAGTGATGCTTTGCCCTCAGCTAAAACATCTGCATTATTCTGAAATTCAAATCTCAAGACACTGTGGTGGGAACTTATTACCAAGAAGAGGTTGGGGTGAAGAAGGGGGGAGGGTAGAAACCAAGAAGAGGAAACATAATAATCAATGCATAAAACAAGAAAATTAAAATGAACAATATTGGAAAATAGTAATAACAGGCATAAGTAATAAAAACATTTTGCTATGTTAGACCATCTAAAACATTAATAAAGAGGCTTATATTAAGGGGCATTTATAATTATTTTAAATCATATAAGAATGATTTCCCTGCATAACTTTAATACTTACAGCAAAATATATATAATCTATCCCTCTTTTCCTCTTTCTTAATTTGTAAGTGATTTCATAATAACCATCAACAACAACAAAAAATACTTAAAAAGCATTTCTGGCCCTTTTAATACATTCTTGGTAAGTTTCTAAACACATAATTTGCTTCCATATGTCACCTTTCTTTAGTAATAAACTGGTTATCCCGTTAGACCTACGTTAGATTTATCATGTATACATTAGAAGTGATCCTCAGACAATCATACCTGATTATTATAATCAGTTATTTTTATAACTTTTTAAAGGGTTCATCCATTTATGTGAGTCTATTACTGAGAGTTGATTAACAATGTATTTTTCTATGTGTAAAGATTCTTATTTTTTACTTAAACACTTGCATTTTTAAGCAATGAAAAATATGTACCACAATAAATTATTTTTAATAATGTATACTTTGTCTTTAAAAACAATTATCTATAAATTACTACAGGCCTGGTGCATGAAATTCGTGCATGGAGTGGGGGGTCCCCTCAGCCCAGCCTGCAACCTCGCCAATCCAGGTCCCTTCGGGGGATGTCCGACTGCCAGGATCAGGCCTAAACCGGCAGTGGACATCCTTCTCACAATCTGGGACTGCTGGCTCCTAACTGCTCACCTGCCTGCCTGCCTGATCGCTCCTAACTGCCCGCCCTGCCAGCCTGATCACCTCTAACTGCCTCTGCCTGCCAGCCTGGTTGTCCCTAACTGTCCACCCCCTACCCTCCCCGCCAGCCTGGTCGCCCCACGCAGCCTGTTCAGTCTCTGTCTGGTTGTTTTGGTCGTGATGGCCCCTGGCTTTTTATATATTAGGATAGGATTATAGTCCATGTGACATGTCCTTATTAAAATTTAATTTTGGTAGAAATTACAATGGTAAAAAATATTGTGCACTAATATGAATGTTATTTTTCACAAACTATAAAAGAAAAAGATGCTTTCTGCGCTTAAAATAAGCATCACCTAATTGAGTGTTATTTTAAATTTACTTTTCTTTTTATCAACTATTTCTAAATTTGAAAACGCTAAGGCAGAATTTAAAGAACTGTGATCAGAAAACCAATAACTATGTTCAAATTCTTTTAGCACAGCATTGAGCACAAAGGGTCAATCTGAACACTCACCACTGCTCCACCATTTCTTGCCATTGACTACATAGCTGTCTCCATCTCGCTGGATGCTGCATTCAATATTTGTGGCATCACTGGATGCTACATCTGGCTCTGTAAATAAGTAAAGGCTAAATTTACAGGAAGGCAGATACCGTAAGTTTACCAAAAGGAGTTAGATAAGGAAAAGTGAACTCTCTGAGGACAGAGAGCATCTTTATCTTTTTCATCTTCCTATCCCCCACCCTGGTTCTCCCATAACCTACAAAGAGCAGGTATTCAGTACATGTGCGTTGGAGAATGAATGAATGAAGTATTTAGGACAGTGGGGATTTGCAATCTGAATTGTGTTCTTGGCTTCCTCATTGATAAATGATTTGAGGTAAAACTCAATTCTGTTTCCAGTCATCAAAAGTAGATTAAAAGCATTGTTCTTCCCACAACGGAAGTCCGTACTAAATATTTGCAAGCCAGATTTCCTTACCATGCAGTTTACTATCTTAAACAATTTCTAACTGTGCCTTGCAAATTCCACCTTTGCCTGGTACATATCTTGCAAATATGCTCTGCCAGAAATGATTGCACCACTCCTGGCAAACAAGAGACACTAGTACCTCAAACACACCCTGTTTGTTCCTGCCAGGCCTTCTCCAAGTGAAATTCTACCCACATTCCTAAGTAAATTCTGCTTCTGAGCCACCTGCATTGTGAAGAATCTCTGCTTCCCCAGCCAAAAATATCTCCTTCTGATCTTATAGTAATTATTGTTTCTTTACTGCTGACATTGCTGACATCAGGAATGCTTTCACTGACTTATTTATTTTGCATTCTATAAAGACTGCTCAACACATAATGTTTGCAGAAAGTTTTCCATGAAACTCTTACAAGGCTGCTTTACTGCATGGCATTTCAGAATTTACAGGCCAGCTCTCACAGTAATCTGCACTTGGTAATACATGCTCTTTTAAATGGGTCCTTCAGATATTTCACATGTTCTGTTTCTAAAATTAGAGACTCAGTTCCTTTAGTAGTTACAAGCACTTGGCATTCAGTGCATATTTATTCTACTTATTTTGTAACCTCAAATTAGTGCTTTGCAGCTAACGCATCATACTGCAGGTATTCAATAAATGCCTCTTACTGATTTAAATGGAGATCGGTGTTGCTATTATAAGTATATGCAATGTCATAAAAGACAAAAATATCTGGCCAAAATTATGACCAGATGAAGTTTAGTTTAATTCTAAACTCAATTGTGAAATAATGTTTTTGTCCCTTTAGGAGTTCTTAATTACTGTTTCCTATGTACAAATGATACCAAACTATTTTTATTAACATGCTTCTAGCTATATTTCCCCCACATGATTATAAATTGAGCTATCTGACCAGCATTGGTGAAAGTTCTATTTTTCCAGGTTTACGCAGAGTAACGTATTTTGTAAGTGTCAATATAAAATTATCACAAAGAGGAATATTCCATACACAAGGGCAAAAAAGATCTTAAATATCTATAAATGGTAATTTTAGAAATGCAAGTCAAAAGATTATGAAACTAGGTTTTCTCTGCTGTTTCTGCCTATAGGCTACCAGAAAACATCATCTGGTGTCCTACCTAAGGGGAGGGTAATTTTATTCTGCACATTTCTAAATTTCCAAATTTAAAACTGTATATTCAGCAGAACCGGTTTGGCTCAGTGGACAGAGCGTCCGCCCGCGGACTCAGGGGTCCCAGGTTCGATTCCGGTCAAGGGCATGTATCTTGGTTGCGGGCACATCCCCACTGGGGGGCGTGCAGGAGGCAGCTGATCAATCTCTCTCATCGATGTTTCTGGCTCTCTATCCCTCTCCCTTCTTCTCTGTAAAAAATCAATAAAATATATTTTAAAAAACAAACAAAAAAACCAACCCTGTATATTCACATATCTGACCACGGGAAAATTTACCTGAAACACAGAGCCACATCCCACATTCTTCAGCTCATCCATAACCCCGGGGGGAATGATTGCACAGAGAACAGTGATCTGCTTTACCTGTCATACAGAAGCAGGAGGCAATGCTCCCTTGGAGAAGAGGCTCAAGCCACTGCTGCTTCTGTTTTTCATCTCCATACAGGTGGAGCAGCTCCATGTTCCCTGTGTCTATACGGAACAAGAAAAGCATTGGTTTCTCATTTTAAAATTTACTAATATGAAGTCCAAACTTTATGTGGATAATGCAGACATGCATACTTTTAAAGCAAATGTTTACTAACAGCATTTTGAAGCACAATAGTGAATGTAATCCTCAATGAAGATGTGCCATAAGTAGTTACAAGCACTTGGTATTCAGTACATATTTATTCAACTTGTTCTGGATCACAGACACTTGTCCACTCATCTCCGCGAAGCCTGGCTCTCATGAGGTCTAACTCAATTAGGACGGCGGAAAACAATTTGCTGGCTTAACCTTTGCCTGGTACGTATCTTGCAAATATGCTCTGCCAAAAGTGATTGCAACACTCCTGGCAAACAAGAGACACTAGTACCTCCAACACACCCTGTTTGTTCCTGCCAGGCCTTCTCTCAAGTGAAATTCTACCCATCGTTCCTAAGTAAATTCTGCTTCTGAGCAACCTGCATTGTGAAGAATCTCTGCTTCCCCAGTCAGAAATATCTCCTTCTGATCTCATAGTAATTATTGTTTCTTTACTGCTGACATTGCTCTTACTTTTGTGCACCCCATACCATCTAGAAAAGTATGAGGTCATATCTCAAAAATGCTACCCACAGAATCCCTGCTCTGGGGAGAAAATGATAGTAGATAACCTCAAAGACACTCTCCAACCCTCCGAGGGAACTGTTCAGTACATGATAACACTATTTAGTATCATTCTCGGGTGTAAAACAAAACTTCACATTTGCCATCAAGCAAAATGCTCTAGATGCCTTTCTTTGATTTTCACTCCTATCAAATTTCTAAAAATTATTTCTAAAACCTTTCCTTTGAATACTCATTTCTTATAAGATTTTAAAGATTTTTCAACATCACCTCTTACAATGACTTTAAGGACAGTCATTAAAATCCCTATGAAATTGAGTTAAGTCTATAAGATAAGTCTCTCAAAATATGTTTTTCCTCTGTTTAGACACTTTTAACAAAGCCAAAGTTATATTAAAAATGAAAGATTTTTAGATTAACAAACTGAAAATTCTATTTGACTGAGGGAAAAAATGAGTTCTGAGTTGGAATTAATGTAGCTCAGTGTTTTCTTTGCTTATTTCCAATTCAATGTTTCTTGTTATAGTTCAAATGAGGTAAATATTGGATATAAACTCTCCAAAAATTACCGTTCATTCCAAGAAGTTGGCAAAACGAAGCTATCATTTATGGGTTGGGAAAAGAGCCTACAAAAATTACTTCTACAAATCCCTCCCCCAAGTCAGCCCAATGCCCCCCAAGTTATCCAATAATAACTTTATAATTAAAATTGCTAGTTTCAACATTCAAATATACAATATTGTATGACTTATTGAAGGGCAAAAAACAAAACAAAAAGGACAAATTGGAAGATAACATATGTTTCTCATAAGCTTTTATAACTACTTGGGAAATAATTCGGGTAGCTTGAGTACAAATTAATCTTTTACACCTAAGAAACCTCCCAAAGTATTTAACTGGCATCAATTACATACCCTTTTTATCTGCTTTGGAAATGCTCCAAAACACAATGCCCAACCCCTTCCTGAAGATATATCTCCACTGCAAAGAGAAAATGTCTGGTTTTCTACTTATGATTTGACACATCTTGTTTGCTGAGGAGAGTTGTTGAGCATACTTGGATCAAAGAAAATGTATTTCCCTGGCCAACTAAAAACGTCAGCAGTTTGGTGATATCCTTTAGACAGTACAACTGATAGACTCATGAAATTTTAATACTAAAAAAAGTCCATGACCACCTAGTGAAAATTAAGTTCACCGGTCAAATGGAGAAATAGTGGCAGAGCTGCATCTGCAAAGGATGTCTTCTATAGCATCATTTTTCACATTATGACCCAATGTTTTGAAGTCATTTTAGTGGAATATGGCCAGCAGTGTATAAATACTAAACTAAATCAAAACAGAATACATTAGATTAGACTTAGAGGAAAATATCTGAGTGCATTGCATGTAGTTGTTTCATGAAGCTTTTTTCAATAATATATCAGTATCTCTCTCCCTCTCCCCCCTACCCACCCTATCCATTCATCAATGAAGACACATACAACTACATATGCTACACATTGGGTCATGATATAAAATATATTTCTTACTATTGAGTAACAGTAA